CCCCGTAGCCAGTCGCTATACCGACTGTGCTATCCCGGTTCACACGTACACGTATGCTGGGTACGTTTTACCTAATATGATTACAATCCGCCCAATCGGTTCAGCCATTAGCACGGCGCACGTACATACAGACACATCGTAAGAACCACCTTTAGATTATATTCAAGGGGGTGTAAAACTTGTGAATTCGTCAAAATCTCGTATAAGATTTTTTTTTTTCACAAGCCACAATGCTTTGTCTTAAGTCTTTGTATTGTAATAATCAGGGCACGTCGTGCTTTGTGTAAGGAACGTCCGGTGTAAATCAAGGTTCTGACCGCAGTGACTGAAATTTGCTGTCTGATTCCCTGAAGATGGAAGCATCAGGTTCCTTCGAAATGTAAGTAACGATTTTCCAGAATGTAAGTTTTGAGGTTTTCACGGCGATGACAATGAAGAAAGTTGTCTTCTGGGTTTAGGCACCGTGTATTCTTCGTTTTGGCCGACGTTTCGGAGGAACGTAGCGCCTCCATCTTNCCCTGCCTACTTCGTATATAAGCAGCACCTTCCACATCCTATCACCACAGCTACTGCTCTCCGCAGCTATTCAACTGCTCTGAAGATGGAGGCGCTACGTTCCTCCGAAACGTCGGCCAAAACGAAGAATACACGGTGCCTAAACCCAGAAGACAACTTTCTTCATTGATTTTCCAGAATGTTCGGCGACACATCCAGAAGTGTGGTAGTCTACAGAGGCTTGTAGCCCTTTTCCTTACATTATTTCATCTAACCTCACGGTTCATTGATATGAGCACGTGCAAACTGAGAGTGAGTTATATGGCGTTAAGGCCGTTTGAGGACAAAGCGGTATGAAGAGATGTGAGGATGTACTCGTACATAATCAGATGCTTCACAAGAGGATTCATATGGCGAGAGCATGCAGCTCACATGATGGAAACGATGCGTGAATGTAGTTGATAGGGTGGAAGACTAAGGACCCGGAGGGGATTAAATGTAAGTAGGATATATTCACAGGGTGCATCCTGTTTGTCGTTAGCAAATAAATGGCAAGGTAAGGTTTCCGTCAACTTAACAAACGTGGCCATCTGACCAGAAGATGTAAGCATCATTTATATAGTTACCAGTTGCTCTAGAGCAGTGATTCTGAACCTTTGTCAAACCGCGGCCCGGTAAATTCTTTTTCTATAAGAAAAGGGCCCGGCGGTTGAGAACCACTGCTCTAGAGCAGTGGTTCTCAACCTTTGTGAGACCGCGGCCCCAGTAAGTTCTTTTTTATAAGACGAGGGCCCAGTCCCAACAAATTTACTCGTAAATACCTTTCCAGTTTTGTTAAAGTTCATGCATTAAGCTAACGTAATATTAGAAATTAATTATAGCATAATCATAAAGAGTATTAGTACACTTATGTATACGGTGTGGCATGTTGACAAACATAAAATTACATTTAAATTAGTTATCAATCACTGGACTAATAAAATTTTGTAGCATATTGTAGTTTCCTCAGACCAACTTCATTAAATTAATTTGTGCTAATTTTCATTGACATATCCCATGCTGATCACCAAAAACTTATGTTATTCGGCGTAAAATTGATTATTGTATTATTAAATTGATTTTAATGATGTTGGTTTGAAAAACGGTAGTGAGAAAAATATTTATGCATTGTAACTCACCATAGAAGTCAGCTGAGTAGGGGAAGACGCAGAAGGATGTCAACTTGCCGGTGAAACACTTATTATCACATTTTTTTTTTTATGGCACTACAGCCCCAGTGGGCCTAGGCCTACCTCCCTGAACTTCTCCGTTCACTTCGGTTTTTCTAGATCTTACACATTAGGTACGACTCCTTGGGCGGGTGATCAGCTCGTCGCAAGGCCTCTGCCTGTACACAAACAGAAAAACGCACACACACAAACTAAACATCCATGCCCTGAGTGGGATTCGAATCCACGATCTCGGTTTCCGAGCGAGCGAAGACAGTACATGCCTTAGACCGCTCGGCTACCGTGACCGGCTATTATCACATACACACGCCAAATAATTATATATGTAAAGTATGTAATTTGATAAATAAAAATGTATGAATCTCTCAATTCTAAACACTACTTCCAACACTAATTAATATTTTGATTTTAAAGACCCAGCACTTTAACACAGCAATTATAAGTTATTGGAAAGTTAAACTTAGTTTCTTTTATCACAACTGAGTTTGGAAGGTTTTAGTTAGACTAGTGAGACTTCTGTTTCTGTTTTCTGTCCGTTAGCTTATTAATTCTGGGATGAATTGAAGTGAAGCCAAACGGAGACAGTCAGAAAGTTGCAGGCAGTTCCTCTGTTTCGTTTTAAGCACAGTCATGGCAGAAAATGCAGTTTCACAAAGCTATGTGGTGGAAAAACAAAGAAGAAACCTCACCTCTATTTCATGTAAATTTGGATATTCATTTTTCATTCTTATCCAGAATTTCGAATTACTCATAGTATTAAAAGTACTTTCCAGTCCTTTGTCCGATGATAATTCAACAAGTTGAAGGGTTTCTTCTTGTGAAAGGGCTGTCTCTTTGTGTTCAACAAAAGGGTTCACAATCCACATATTTTGCCTCCGGGGATCCTCATGTTCGGGGTAATATTTTTCAAACGACAACAACATTTTCAAGTGGGCTGCAATAATATATGAAACTGAATTCTGTGAATAGAAATCATCTGCTTCCATAATATAATCTGAGTACGACTGAAACATTTCATTGTTTCCTTCTGCAATCATATTAAGCCAGAAGAAAGCAGTCTTCTGGGATTTGGCGCCGTGTATATGTGGTGTTAACCGACGTTTCGGAGGAACGTATCGCCCCCATCTTCAGGGTTGAAGAAAAAGTATAGGTAAATCTGCAAGCGACAACACCGTGAGACACGGTAAAGCAGACTGAGACTGCTTTCTTCATAGTCACCGCCGTGAAAGCCTCAAATCTTACATATTAAGCCAGAGTTTGAGTTTCTTTTTGAATGATTCGATCTTGTTCCACGCATTAGATATTGTTGTATCTGGACCTTGAAGTTTAAAATTCAACTCATTCATGTAAGAAAATATGTCGCTGAGATACGCCAGCCTGGCTGGAAATAATGGGACAGGTTACTTTTCTTATCAATTAGAAAGAGCTCGACTTCCTTTCGGAGTTCATATAACCTCTTGAGAACTTTACCGCGGGACAACCAACGAACTTCCGAATGGAAAAGAAGATTTTGATGATCAGAGCCCATTTCATCGCATAATGCTTTTAACAAAATATAATTAATAATCTTAACAGATTGAGACAGGACTTCATTAAGCTCAGGTGCCATTTTTTGGAGGCTAGGTTTTGCCTATGAATGTAGCAATGCGTTGACACTAAGTTATTGCCCTCCATATCCTTAATTTTAGTGACCAGACCTGAATTTCTACGTGTAAGACAGGCAGCGCCGTCAGTGCGAACTCCAACGCAATTTTTCCATTCGAGACCTCTATCTTCAATGAAACCATTTAAAGCTTTTAAAATTTCACTGCTGATAGTGTGCGTAGGTAATTCACAAACACTTAAAATGTCTTCCTTCATGTCACTCCCTTCATGGTCAATATATCGTACATACGTAAGTCAAATGCTGTGGTTCTGAATATCTGTAGATTCGTCCAGTTGTAATGCAAACAATATCGATTTTTTAATTTTTTTTTCAGTGACTTGCGTTTCTGTATCTTCTGCCATATCAGATATCCGCCTACCAACTGTATCATTCGACAATGGGATGTCTTTCATTTTACTTGCCGCAGACTGGCTTAATACTTCATTACAAGCAGCAATCAAAGAAGGCTTAATGAGTTCTTCCCCAATGGAATATGGTTTTTTACATTGATCTGTCTGTAGTGATATTAAATAGGATGCTGTCAGAAGTGAAGTGTCAGTGGTTGAAGCTTGGTAAATAATTTTCTTTTCTACTTTAAGTGCATCTCTTTTACGCATAAAGAATTCAGTGGGTTTGTTGACTAGATTGGAATGTCGTGTTGAGATGTCGGGTAAGTCGCGATGGCTTCATAGCTTCATTTCCCAGAACAGTAGCACAAATGACACATTGAGGTCGTGGCAACTGGTCAGTGTTAGGGCATTGTATGAAACCAAATTTTAAGTAGCTGTCCATGTACTTACGAATGGATGCAGACTTTTTCTTCTGTGTGCTGGTGGTTTTCCCTTCATTTTGTACATCCTGGAGATCGCTATGTAAGCTTGAGGTAGATGAATCACTACTTGTTGCGTCACAAACACCTTCAATATGATATTTCTTAACACCAAAATTAAGCAAAGTCCCCTGTCTCTTATTCATATTAAAATTTAAATCACTCAGGTTTCGAAACAAGCACTTACACACTGCAATGCGAACTTGCGGAGAAACAGTATTCAGTATTACTAGATTTGAGAACCGGATACAGACTGCCTTGATCTTCATTTTCAGTGGAAACATTTTCTTTACACTTCCTTGCTGATTGGTCACTGACATTTGCAACACAGATGTTATTTCGCTCAGTTCTGAGAAGAGAGGATATGCCGCCAATTGCAATCGGCTTGCAGGCAATTTGTATGACTGGTCATAAACATCGGTATTGCCTTTCCCGAATGTTGAAAGATTTGGATGTCTGAAAATTCCCGATCATTCATTAATACTTCCATGTTTAAAAATATGCGGCCTGCTCACTGACATTTGCTACAGAGATTTAGGTGTTCCGTGTCTGAACTTCTCGACACAAATATTATTCTCCTCAGAATATTTCCACTATAAAATATTTATTCCTGAAAAATGCTTAGAAAATGAAAACGACAAGTTCAAAAAGAGCCTCTCGCGGCCCAGTATAATTGATGCCAGGGCCCACTACTGGGCCGCGACCCGGCGGTTGAGAAGCACTGCTCTAGAGGCTCCTGTACTACGAAGATAGGTCCAGTGTGGACCCTTAAGTGTGATACGATGGTATTATTGTGTTTCAGGGGACCAACGGGCCTCGACCAACTTACGCGGGAAACGGTGGTCAGGGTAAAAGTGGTCCTCGTGGTCCCCCTGTTGGTGGTAACATCACGGCACAGCAAACCAGTGTGGGTGGGAATGGCATCTATCGAGGTGGAACGTGGAGCAGTGGGGCTAACCCCTTTCAGCCAGTGAGATATGCGACCCCCATGGGCCCCACAAATGCGACGACTTACTCCGCAGCCTACACGCATCAGTCTTCGGTAAGTGAACTCTAATTTTGCCCGTGTGAACAACATGTAAGACGTCCATATGGGTGCCGTCCGGGCCTTCACTGGCTCGTTCTGTTATCATGAGCAGTGATCGCTGTTGTGGTTCCGTCTGCGAGTAGCGATCACTCTTGTGGTTCCGTCTGTGAGTAGCGATTGCTATTGTGGTTCCATCTGTGAGTAGCGATCGCTGTTGTGGTTCCGTCTGTGAGTAGCGATTGCTATTGTGGTTTTGTCTGTGAGTAGCCATTGCTATTGTGGTTCTGTCTGTGAGTAGCGATCGCTGTTGTGGTTCCGTCTTTGAGTACCGATTACGATTTTTATGCGGAATCGTCAAAACTGGCTCGCAAATTTATACATACGCTGTCTTGCGGAAACGTCCATGCTTGGGCACGAGAGTCTGAGTCGCGTCGAGTGTAACCCCAGCCCTGTAGGCTGCTCTCCTGTTGGCCCAACCTATTACATTTGGTGTCATTTCCCCCACGGACGAACCGGTATCCTACCTTCTCTAGTTACGTCGTCGCGTACCAGCAGTGAGGTTGACACGCAATGAGGTCTTTTTGGCGAGATTGTTGCTAATTATTCAGTTGGTCGGGTCAGTGTTCGACCGTCAGGGGTGGCTGGCTTCAGGAGATTGGCAGCGCAGAGGCGCCGTCTACAGGCGGTCGCCGCCGTTACGAATAGTTACGTTTCTGGACACAGCGAAATTCTTTAATGCGAATCTCTGTTTCTCATAAACGCAATGTTACAATTGGGGGGAACGTTCACAGACGACCAAAAAGTGACCCCAAAAAAGTAAATCACCGACTTTATTGCCCAAAACGAAACATGCTGGCTTCGGAAACTTCTCATTATGCTCTAACCACTGGAGACCCTATTATGCTATAAAAACACACCAGTAACACATTTTAAAAATAACTGTTAATCTTATCGGTGGTGATTAATAGACTATACACCACAAAATTGTTGACCGTAGCAGAATCGTATAAAAGATGCGAACTGAGTGTTTTCCTATTTCGTTCGTAATTTGACTTGTTCGGAAGGGATTTCGGATGAGCGAGTTCGGGAATATGGCGGTAACAAGACGAGCCGAGTCATGCGCGCCATCATAAAAGCTCATAGGCCTGCCTGTGAGTGAAATATCATAATTCGAATCTCTGTAAAGCGAGATCAATGTTAGACTTGAAAGGATTCTGACGATGGTGTATACTGTACTTCTTTTGGCTTATTTTGGACTTCACCCATCGTCTGGTATGTAAAAGATAAAAGACCACGACGTTTCGGAGACTGGATCTGTCTCCGTCTTCAGGTGGATAGGGAAGGATAAACCTACTCAGTTGGGCCCGTTAGAAAGAGCTAGTCTCAATCACTGTGCATTGTGTCGTGGATTCGAGCCCCAGCCATTCCGGTCAGGATTGTATGTTTGTGTTTTCCTGTATACGTGTAGACCTTGGTGGGCTGATCCCCGTCCAAAAAGTCTTACCAAATGTCTGTAAAGATTCCGAAACCCGGAAGCGGGGAAACCTTGGACTGCATTGACCTATCTTGCCAGACAAAGAAATAGCTGTTGTTATTGGTATGTACTTTAGACTGGCGGATAATCCCACTAGCTCAGTTATAAGAAACACAGTACAAGAATTCTAACTAAACAGCGCCAACTTGATAGCAGTGGCAACACTCCGGTCGTTTAATGCATGGGGCCTGTAGCAGCAGGTAAACTGGCGAAACAGAACATTTGTAACACCCGTTGGGACCGTCTCTTTGGTCAGAGTTCCTGGCTACAGATCCAGTGGTCCCGGGTTCGATTCCCAGCGCTGCCAGATTTTCTGAGAAGTAGTGGGTCTGGACCGGGGTCCACTCACCCTCGTGAGGATAATTGAGGAGCTATTTCAAGGAAATATCGGCTCCGGTCTAGAACACCGAGATTAACGGCCGTGGAGATTCGTTGCACTGACCACGCGACACCCTCTATCCGCAAAAGTTGGCACTGACTTCGCCGACAAGCGGCGGTCGCTCGGTCGGTATATTTCGCTTGTGGAGTACAGGCTACAGATTTTTTTTTTTGTAATACTCCTCGCGTTTTCCTTTCCAGCCCTACATGTTATCGAATGATGCGTTGAGGCCGACGTTTAACGCCATCTCCCACGAATACCGCGCATAAATAGCCAATCGTAAACCGTCTCATTTATATAATATGCTACACATATCAGCATCTGTGTATTGTCAGTACTTACATAATGTTCACGATACACTGAAATAAGTGATTGTTTGCTAGTTCGTGACATACTACGTACCTTACGTTAATGTAACGCTCGATAATAAATTGCTGTGTGGTAAACTGACATTTTATAACTAAAATTTCGATCAGACTCGTATATATAGAGAGGGATTATTTCCATCCTGTAGCAAGCTGTTTCGTTGTTCCAAGTGGGAATGTTTGCGCACCATTAAATAACACATATATTAGTATACATGTATGGGGCACGCAGTAGCCTAGTTGGTGGAGGGACTATGCTACGAGCCGGAAGGTTGCGGGTTCGATTCTCAATGAGGTCATTGGATTTTTCAGTTGGCCTAATCCTTCCAGCCGCCCTATGGCCCGGGGTTCGACTCAGCCTCTGACAGAAGTATCAGGAATCTTTTTGGGGTAAAGGGCGGCCGGCCGGCGCGTATGGTTGATAACCTTACCGCCATCTGTGAGCCGATTGTCTAGAAAATGTGTGAGGCTTGACGTCTCACAACCCTATGGGCCTCCATGGCCTGTTACAGTGACAGCTTTGCTTTTTGCATTACATATACACGTATATGTATAAACAAAACACTGCTGAGAACTGGAAGAAATGAAAAGGAGCCCTGTGGAGGATGTCTCTAGAACTGTGTTGCACGTTGGGTTTGAGGATCTCGCGGCGGTCTCGCGCTGTGTAGTCTGGTAGAAGTTTAGCGACATTTCGGAGGAGTATAATGCTTCCATCTTCAGGAACGAATAATACGCTTGTTTGGCTTCTCTGTCGAGTTAAGCGATACTAGTAATAATTAGTACATATGGTAGCAAATGTGGATTGTTTCGAGCACGCACCTGTACTTTGTGACGATATCGGCACAACTATCAGGAATCCCAGTGCAGAACGCACTGAAATTCCTGTTGTTTACGGATACATGTAGTCAGTGATAATGGGAAACCGGTCTCGGGGCGCGTGACAGAGTGAAATCTTTACTAGAATAACTTTTTAAAAACTGAATTTCTTCTGAATAATATGTATAAATTCTGTTCGTACCTCACAAGAAACACATTACATCTCCGCTACAAAGCCCAACCAGTTAATACTGTTTAGGGAAACAGTCGCTGTTTATTGTGAGAATCGCATGGAACACACAGATACACTCTGTGGGCAGAATGCAGAGTCTTATGTTAAAGCAGGTGGTACGTATAGTGTGACCAGTGGGCTTTAAAGAGTTAATCTTCCAGAGGTGACTTGAAATCCTAGATAAGTGTTTTTCACTGGTTGGGGCATATCCCGCTGGTGGGAGTAACGGATCCCCGTGTATGCCGTGGGGTCTCGGAAACAAACTACAGGGGATGGACAAAAATATGGAAACACGTCGTGAAATGCATGCATGCCTCAATTGAAGTGTTTATTTTAGCGACGTTTGTAGGTCACGCTGTCGTATCTGCCCAACACCACTACCTGTACAACCTCCGCAATACGTTGCAAGCTTCATTTGCTGTCGAGACAGTGTTGTGTGCAATTTTTTGTGCATCACGTCAGAGCTAACAGAACTCGAACGTGGGCAAATTGTTAGGGCCCATATGGTGGGTGCTTCCGTAACCAAGGTAGCCGAGGTTTTTGGTGTTTCGCGAGGCACAGTATCCAAGATTATGACCGCATACAGGAGGACTGAAAAAACCGCATCCGATAAACACCAACTTGGACGGAAATGTGTGTTGAGTGATCGGGACAGACGAAAATTGCGTAGGATTGTGACGAAAAAGAAGACTACAGCTGCAAAAGTGACTGCTGAACTGAATGTCACGCTCACAAACCCTGTCAGCACCAAAACAGTACGAAGGGAACTCCACAAGCAGGGTATTTCTGGACGAGCTGCAATTCCAAAGCCACTTATCAGTGATCAGAATGCCACTAAGAGGGCAGTGTGGTGCCGAAGTCATAAAACCTGGACTATGGAGCAATGGAAGAGGGTCATTTGGTCGGATGAGTCCACCTTCACACTGTTTCCGACTTCTGGCCGAGTTTACGTCTGGAGAACGCCATCCCAAGCTCACGATCCAGATTGTTTGCTGCCAAAAGTGAAACATGGCGGGGGTTCGATCATGGTATGAGCAGCCATATCGTGGTATTCTGTCAGACCCATCATTACCCTGCAAGGTCACGTCACTGCCAACGACTATGCGACCATTTTGGGCGATCAGGTTCGTCCCATGGTGCGAACTTTGTTCCCTAATGGTGATGCCATTTACCAAGCCAACAGTGCCTATGTTCACATAGCTCACATTGTCCAGGACTGGTTTTCTGAGATGGAAGATGAAGTGTCACGTCTGCCATGGCCATATTATTGAGCCTTTGTGGCCTGTTTTGGAGAGCAATCTGCGGGCGCGCTATCCACCTCCATCATTGATAACAGATAGCCATGTTTTTCAGGAAGAATGGTACAAAATTCCCTTGCAAATCATACAGGACCTCTATTTATCCATTCCAAGGAGACTGCAAGCAATTCTGCAAGCCAAAGGTTGTCCTACACCATATTAGTCACGGTAATGTGTTTTTTGTTGGGTGTTTCCATATTTTTGTCCATCCCCTGTACGTTCCTGCACTGTAGGCAGTTCCTCTTGCGCCCGGGGCGGGGGGGGGGAATTGTTCGAGCAGATCCTGCGATAACATAGACAGAAATCAACGAGCAGTAAAGAAAAGTCAACAGATAATTAAAATCTCCACTCATCATACCCAACAACAAAAAGAACGAAATGAAATCGAAAC